TCGCTATACAATTGCTCGTCGTCGAGCAGTCACAACTAATTCATAGCTGCAACATGCCCACGACGAGTCACGGCGATCTCCGCTGCCCGTATTATACCAGACGGAGACACACCATGGATATTATCGTTCAAATTCAACAGACTCTCGTGTTAATTGAGTAAAATGCTACCCGACGTTAGACAAAAATGCCAAGTCGTCGTGGTCAGCGACATTTCATCGCCATTCGCGTGGAAATGACGTGCAAAAGTTTATTCTCGCTCGGAATCGAGTGAGTCGATGCTCGGTATTTATCGACGATTCAATGAAGAATCGACGAACTCGTAACGCCTACGGCGCCTACCGCATAAGGGCCATTCGGTCAGAGACACCGACCCGCGGTAATGCAGTGGATGACAACGATGGAGAGCATACCCAAGACGATTACATCGACTCGAGCACCTCTCTTACATATACCGAAAGGGCCGCCGAGGCATCGGCGCCGAATGGTCTTGAGCATTGTTTTATATGGGCAAAAACCTCATCGAAAGGGCGGATCCTCCGAAGCTTCTTCGAACATCATTGACGAGGAAATCGCCGGGCACGACGTTTCAGGCCAGGGACTTGCTGTATTGACAAGTGACTCGCCGCACACGACGTTTCAGGCCAGGGACTTGCTGTATTCACAAGTGACTCGCCGCGCACGACGTTTCAGGCCAGGGACTTGCTGTATTCACAAGTGACTCGCCGCGCACGACGTTTCAGGCCAGGGACTTGCTGTATTGACAAGTGACTGGCCGCGCACGACGTTTCAGGACAGGGACTTGCTGGATTTACAAGTGACTCGCCGAGCACGACGTTTCAGGCCAGGGACTTGCTGTATTCACAAGTGACTCGCCGCGCACGACGTTTCAGGCCTGGGACTTGCTGGATTTACAAGTGACTCGCCGCACACGACGTTTCAGGCCAGGGACTTGCTGGATTTACAAGTGACTCGCCGCGCACGACGTTTCAGGCCAGGGACTTGCTGGATTTACAAGTGACTCGCCGCGCACGACGTTTCAGGCCAGGGACTTGCTGTATTGACAAGTGACTCGCCGCGCACGACGTTTCAGGCCAGGCACTTGCTCTATTCACAAGTGACTCGCCGCGCACGACGTTTCAGGCCAGGGACTTGCTGTATTCACAAGTGACTCGCCGCGCACGACGTTTCAGGCCAGGGACTTGCTGTATTCACAAGTGACTCGCCGCGCACGACGTTTCAGGCCAGGGACTTGCTGTATTGACAAGTGACTCGCCGCGCACGACGTTTCAGGCCAGGCACTTGCTGTATTCACAAGTGACTCGCCGCGCACGACGTTTCAGGCCAGGGACTTGCTGGATTTACAAGTGACTCGCCGCGCACGACGTTTCAGGCCAGGGACTTGCTGTATTCACAAGTGACTCGCCGCGCACGACGTTTCAGGCCAGGGACTTGCTGTATTGACAAGTGACTCGCCGCGCACGACGTTTCAGGCCTGGGACTTGCTGTATTCACAAGTGACTCGCCGCGCACGACGTTTCAGGCCAGGGACTTGCTGTATTGACAAGTGACTCGCCGCGCACGACGTTTCAGGCCAGGGACTTGCTGTATTGACAAGTGACTCGCCGCGCACGACGTTTCAGGCCAGGGACTTGCTGTATTGACAAGTGACTCGCCGCGCACGACGTTTCAGGCCAGGCACTTGATGGATTTACAAGTGACTCGCCGCGCACGACGTTTCAGGCCAGGGACTTGCTGGATTCACAAGTGACTCGCCGCGCACGACGTTTCAGGCCAGGGACTTGCTGTATTCACAAGTGACTCGCCGCGCACGACGTTTCAGGCCAGGCACTTGCTGTATTCACAAGTGACTCGCCGCGCACGACGTTTCAGGCCAGGCACTTGCTGTATTCACAAGTGACTCGCCGCGCACGACGTTTCAGGCCAGGGACTTGCTGTATTCAGAAGTGACTCGCCGCGCACGACGTTTCAGGCCAGTGCTGTATTCACAAGTGACTCGCCGCGCACGACGTTTCAGGCCAGGGACTTGCTGGATTTACAAGTGACTCGCCGCGCACGACGTTTCAGGCCAGGGACTTGCTGTATTCACAAGTGACTCGCCGCGCACGACGTTTCAGGCCAGGGACTTGCTGTATTGACAAGTGACTCGCCGCGCACGACGTTTCAGGCCTGGGGACTTGCTGTATTCACAAGTGACTCGCCGCGCACGACGTTTCAGGCCAGGGACTTGCTGTATTGACAAGTGACTCGCCGCGCACGACGTTTCAGGCCAGGGACTTGCTGTATTGACAAGTGACTCGCCGCGCACGACGTTTCAGGCCAGGGACTTGCTGTATTGACAAGTGACTCGCCGCGCACGACGTTTCAGGCCAGGCACTTGATGGATTTACAAGTGACTCGCCGCGCACGACGTTTCAGGCCAGGGACTTGCTGGATTCACAAGTGACTCGCCGCGCACGACGTTTCAGGCCAGGGACTTGCTGTATTCACAAGTGACTCGCCGCGCACGACGTTTCAGGCCTGGGACTTGCTGTATTCACAAGTGACTCGCCGCGCACGACGTTTCAGGCCTGGGACTTGCTGTATTCACAAGTGACTCGCCGCGCACGACGTTTCAGGCAGGGACTTGCTGTATTGACAAGTGACTGGCCGCGCACGACGTTTCAGGACAGGGACTTGCTGGATTTACAAGTGACTCGCCGCGCACGACGTTTCAGGCCAGGGACTTGCTGTATTCACAAGTGACTCGCCGCGCACGACGTTTCAGGCCTGGGGACTTGCTGTATTCACAAGTGACTCGCCGCGCACGACGTTTCAGGCCAGGGACTTGCTGGATTCACAAGTGACTCGCCGCGCACGACGTTTCAGGCCAGGGACTTGCTGTATTCACAAGTGACTCGCCGCGCACGACGTTTCAGGCCTGGGACTTGCTGTATTCACAAGTGACTCGCCGCGCACGACGTTTCAGGCCAGGGACTTGCTGTATTGACAAGTGACTCGCCGCGCACGACGTTTCAGGACAGGGACTTGCTGGATTTACAAGTGACTCGCCGCGCACGACGTTTCAGGCCAGGGACTTGCTGTATTCACAAGTGACTCGCCGCGCACGACGTTTCAGGCCTGGGACTTGCTGTATTCACAAGTGACTCGCCGCGCACGACGTTTCAGGCCTGGGGACTTGCTGTATTCACAAGTGACTCGCCGCGCACGACGTTTCAGGCCAGGGACTTGCTGTATTGACAAATGACTGGCCGCGCACGACGTTTCAGGACAGGGACTTGCCTGTATTCACAAGTGACTCGCCGCGCACGACGTTTCAGGCCAGGGACTTGCTGTATTCACAAGTGACTCGCCGCGCACGACGTTTCAGGCCTGGGACTTGCTGTATTCACAAGTGACTCGGCCGCGCACGACGTTTCAGGCCAGGGACTTGCTGTATTGACAAGTGACTCGCCGCGCACGACGTTTCAGGCCAGGGACTTGCTGTATTCACAAGTGACTCGCCGCGCACGACGTTTTCAGGACAGGGACTTGCTGGATTTACAAGTGACTCGCCGCACACGACGTTTCAGGCCAGGGACTTGCTGGATTTACAAGTGACTCGCCGCGCACGACGTTTCAGGCCAGGGACTTGCTGGATTTACAAGTGACTCGCCGCGCACGACGTTTCAGGCCAGGGACTTGCTGTATTGACAAGTGACTCGCCGCGCACGACGTTTTCAGGCCAGGCACTTGCTCTATTCACAAGTGACTCGCCGCGCACGACGTTTCAGGCCAGGGACTTGCTGGATTTACAAGTGACTCGCCGCGCACGACGTTTCAGGCCAGGGACTTGCTGTATTCACAAGTGACTCGCCGCGCACGACGTTTCAGGCCAGGGACTTGCTGTATTGACAAGTGACTCGCCGCGCACGACGTTTCAGGCCAGGGACTTGCTGTATTCACAAGTGACTCGCCGCGCACGACGTTTCAGGCCTGGGACTTGCTGTATTCACAAGTGACTCGCCGCGCACGACGTTTCAGGCCTGGGACTTGCTGTATTCACAAGTGACTCGCCGCGCACGACGTTTCAGGCCAGGGACTTGCTGTATTGACAAGTGACTGGCCGCGCACGACGTTTCAGGACAGGGGACTTGCTGTATTCACAAGTGACTCGCCGCGCACGACGTTTCAGGCCAGGGACTTGCTGTATTGACAAGTGACTCGCCGCGCACGACGTTTCAGGCCTGGGACTTGCTGTATTCACAAGTGACTCGCCGCGCACGACGTTTCAGGCCAGGGACTTGCTGTATTGACAAGTGACTCGCCGCGCACGACGTTTCAGGCCAGGGACTTGCTGTATTGACAAGTGACTCGCCGCGCACGACGTTTCAGGCCAGGGACTTGCTGTATTGACAAGTGACTCGCCGCGCACGACGTTTCAGGCCAGGCACTTGATGGATTTACAAGTGACTCGCCGCGCACGACGTTTCAGGCCAGGGACTTGCCAGTTGTACGGAATTCACGCGCATTGCCCCTCATGAACAGAAGAGTGTTAAGTGCAGGCGCATTGCATTTGCTGTTGTGGTCAAGGAGTCCCCCCCTCCATCCCTTCTAACAATCCTGTTTGCTCGTTCCAGCCGACTAGATATCGGCCTGCTCCCGAGCGAGTGTACCCACAGCAGCGGTGCGAGCTCGTGGCATTAGCCTACTTCTCACATAATGAGCATTACCACCAACTATTTTCCATCTGTTATAGGCAATCGAGTCCGCTTTATGGAGGGTCACTAACGCTTTGATATTTCCACAGTTCGTGCT